TGGTCAAGGTGGAGGGCTTTTCTGATGTAACCCGGGTCTCCAAATCAGTCAGCTTGGAGTCCCTGGAGAGGGAGATCACGCTGGTGGGCTGGCCCTAATCCAGAGGGACCTTTAAACAGGCCAGAGAGGAGGGAACAGCTGGGCTGCCAACAGCTCACCACGTGTGGCAGGCACTTGGGGCGGCCGGCCAGAAAATGGAGACCCTGTGCCCCCCAGAGCAAGAACAAAATTCTACCAACGCCTGAAGGGGCTTGGAAGCCCGTCCTTCCCCAGCTGAGCCTTTGGCTGCGCAGGCCACCAGGGGACACCTGCCCACAGCCTTATGGGACCCGGAGCCGGGGCACTGACCCACTGGGCCAGACCACCACCGATCCCCAGAAGCCCTGAGAAAACACACGGGTGTCGTGGCAAGCCACTAAGTGCACGCAAATTTAGCTGACACTGTCCGTTTGCCAAAACGGCCCTTCTCTGTAATAGTCCGCGTCTGGTTTTTAAGTTAGGCCTAACACATCCTAACTACATTTCCAGAGGAGCCTCTTTCTGCCTTCCAACCCGCCTCGCCCCCAGCTCCCTGCTGCTCCCAGGACGACCCAGGGGAAGGAGGATGTGGCCAGATTTAGCAAATAAAAGTACACGGCACACAGTAAATTTGAACTTCGGGTAAACGATGAGCGGATTTTTTTACAGTGATCGTAGGTCCTAAATATTGCATGGCACGTAGAGAAGTCATTCATTGTTGGCCTGAAATCAAATTTGGCTGAGGAGCCTGAATTTTAGCTTACCCCTGCCAACAGCAGCCCAGCCTCCACACGTGTGAGGGGGCGCGCACCACTGGGCCTGGCCTTGGCTGGCTGCGGAGACCCAGGGGCGCATGGCCTCGGTGCGGGCTCCCAAGTGGGCCGGGGTGGCGGCCACCGCGCGTGCCGGTCTGCTTGGCGAGTGCGCAGGGGAGTGGGGAGCGCAGCCTGGCTCCTGGGCCTTCCTCCTCCACGCAGGCCTGCAAGAGTGCGCATCCCACGAGCGCACAGCGGGCGGTGGACTGGGTCGAGGAGCCCCGCAGGGAACGTGGCCCACATCTCAGCCTCTCCAAGGGCCCGGGAGAGAACGCTCCTCCCTTCCTGGATCGTGAGCCTCAGGAAAGGACGTCTGTCCCTTGTGCAAAAGAATGCGGGGCGCCAGGGTCACGCAGACACGGGGTCTCCGAGGGGCGCGCGCCGGGGTCAGCCCCACTGCCGCCTCCCTCGCCCCGGGGCCTGCTCTGAGGTCGCTCCCTCCTCCGGGATCCTCCTAAGACCCGTGCAGCCCCCTCAGCGCAGACCTTTTGGGGACCGGAGGCCTGGCAGGAGGGCAGGGTTCCCTCCGAGTCCGGGTCCGGAGGGCACAGCGGAGTTTAAGGACATTCCACCCATCAGGCTGTTGGCCTCGCCACTGCCTGCGCCATCAAGAATCTTCCAGGACATCGCAGGTTTTAGATACTTCTGATTTGTTAAGCAAATTGTAGGCTCCTCTGGGTGGTCCCCAAGGGCCTCTGCTTACTTTTAAGGGAGTACTTTTTCTTTCACTTTTTAAAAATCTTGGTAAAATACCCGTAATACAAAATTTATTAGTTTAACTATTTCTAAGCTCATAGCTCAGTGGTGTGAGGCACATACTCCCCCACCCTCCGTCTCCAGAACTTTCCGTGTCCCCACACGGAGACTCTGTCCTCACGAAGCACTGACTCCCCACCCCTGCCGCAGCCCCGGCTCCCACCCTCTCCTGTCCGTGCGGACCGGACTCCTCTGGGAGCCTCCTGGGAGTGGGGTCCTGTGGGATGGGTCCTTCTGGGTCTGGCTCCTGTCGCTGAGCGCCATGTCCTCGGGGTCCCTCCGCATCGTGGCAGGGGTCAGGGGCCCCCCTCCGAGGCTGGACCGTGTTCCTGCCTGGGGACGACGGCACCGTGTGTGTCTTCCATCTGTGGACGGACGCTGGGTGCTTCTCCCTGTAGGTTGCTGTGTCTCGTGCTAGCGTGAGCACAGGTGGGCACGTATCTCTCCCGGTCCCTGATTCCTGCTCTCTTGGGGACACACCCAGTACTGGAATCTCTGGGTCACACGGTTGTTCTATGTTTCATTTTTTGAGGAACTTGTTGGTTGTGTAAAGGTGACTGGTCATACTGAATACAGAAAGGACTGTTGTGCTCCTGTGACTGCTCTGTCTGCTCCCCCGTCCACATCCAGGGACACTTACAGGTGGCCCTGGCACCCTGGCAGGGGGCAGGGTGGGAGGGGATGTGGCCATTATGTGCCCATGGGACATGCAAGTCTCCCCTCCACCTGGTGGCCCGGCAGAGGGGGCGGTGCAGGAAACACCGTCCCTTGTTCTTGGCCGGGGGAGCTGGCCGTGTCTGGCCTGCTCAGCAACCCCTGCCTTGGGTTCGGGCAACCGGCAGGCGCCCCAGCGGCCAAAACAATCCCAGCACCTCGCATGGCACGGGCCCAGGGGCTCCGGACCCCGTGTCCCCGACTGAGTCCCTCTGGGGACAGACTGGCACACGACAGAGCTGCGCGGGTTGCAGAGCCCAGAACTGGAGGAACTGGGGGTGGATGTCACGTGGCCCCAAGAACCTGTGCCTCAGAGCCCAGTCTGGGTGACAGGCGGGTGGCCCTGTGGATGTGACCTGCCGGCCCCTTCTCCCCCAGGCAATAGGGCCAGACCACAAGGGCCCCTTTCAGACTCAGGCTGGGGAAGCTGCTTCCTGTTTCTGAGGGTTGCACCGGACAGAGCAGGGATCAAGGACAGAGAGGAGTGTGTGTGGGGGAGAGAGACAGAGGAAGACAAAGTTGGGGGAGGACGTCACTGTGCTGCAGTCACTCTGTGTTTTGGGGGAACCTTCACAGGCCACAGGGCTGGAGACATTCTGGGCTCCGAAGACAGTCTACTGAGACCACGAGAGCTGGTCCCATCATGGGACGGTCTCAATCCTGGGACAATGGTGGGGGGGGGTGTCTTCCAACCCAGATGACTCATGAATATGCCCCTCGGGGCCACGACCCATATGCAAAGAAGTGTAGCAGGATTGGGAAGGGTGACAGAAGGGGTCACAGGGGAGCCCAGACCTTCTGCACCTCAGCTGGGTGCCTAGTACATGACCTGTGCAACAGTCCCAGGCAGCCCTGAGCAGAGGCAAAAGAAGGTTAGCTGAAGAGGGGGACCAGGAGACTGTGTAGTGTGCAGAGTAACAGTCCCATAGACATCCCCATCCTGGTCCTGGGATATGCCACCTCCTGCGGCAGAGAGGACTTTGTCACTGCCCCGAGGTGAGGGTGACCTTGGGTTCCCATAGAGGCCGGCGTCCTCGCCAGATTCTCACGAGAGGGAGGCAGAGTACGGGGGTCCCAGAGACGGGCAGACCCTGTGCGGCGGGGGGGGGGGGGGGGGGGGGGGCGTGGGCCAGGAAAGGGCAGGAGCCGGGTCTTCCTGGGACCCCAGGGGGCACTAGCCCTGCCCACGCCGGGGTTTTAGGACTCCCAAGCCCAGAACTGTGAGAGAATCGGTGTGAGAGGTCATCTGTCACAGCAGCTGTGCGAGGCTCTCACATCCTGAGCTCGGGGATGGAGGTACAGGCCTTATTGGCACTGGTGAGCTGACATGACAGGAAATGGTGGGGGAGCCCATGAGACTCATCACAGGGCTGTGTTTGAGGCCCTGAAACTGCCTTCCTGAGGGTGGACGGGGCCCACATCTGGTTCTCAGAACCAGGTCAGAGCTGCAGAAGTCCCAAAGGAAGCTCTGGTCAGTGAGGTGCACTCTGCAGGGCTCAGACAATTCCTGTGGACACAGACCTTGCCTCCCCCCTCAGACTGGGGCTGTGCCTCTTCTCTCGGCCTGTCTCTGTTCTGCCCTGCAGCAGCACCCCCCGCCAGCCCTGCCCTGGGGGGCCACCACAGTCCTGCTCCTGCCCTGCTGCCCCAGGCCCTCGCCCACCGCACCCGCCTCGCCCACCGCACCCGCCTCGCCTGCCTGCGTGGGCCGTCTGAAGCTGGATCTCGTGAAACAGCTGCCTCAGTTTCCAGCAGCAGCTGCGCAGAGCAGTAGTGGGAGAGGCCTGGAGGCTGAGGCGGGGAGTGAGCTGAGAGCCGGGTCCCATTGCTCTCCCTGGGTGTGGAGGGGAAGGCCACGCAGAGGGCCGCAGCAGAGCTGGGACCGGGGCCCAGCATCCACAGCCTTGCCCAGAATGACCATGTCCCAGGAGTGAGCCCCACACCACAGAGCCAGAGCCGCACCCCTGCACCATCCCCTGGCGCTGGGAGGCTCACACCTGCTGCGCATACGACCGGCATTGTGGCTGACGCTGGGGGGCCAGCCAGGCAAGGGACCGGCGGCCTCACCCATGTGACACGCACTGAGGCTGGGGTGGTCAGGACAGGCCGGGTGCCCACCCAGACATCACTCCACAGTGGGCAGGCTCCAGGCATTTGGGGTATGGAGCAGACGGCCCTTTTCTCCACCAGGTACGGGGCCATCCCCACGGGGCCCCATGATGTCCGCATCTTGCTGGGCAAGCCTCGGGGCTGGGGCTCAGGGGTGGGTGGCACAGAGACCCTCAGATTGGGTGCTCCCCCCTCAGACCCGCAGCTCCTGAGGGGCCAGGACCCGGGTCTCCTTCCTCACCAGCCTCACCGCAGTGGACGAGCAGGAACACTCACATCGGCACCAGGGGCTGCCGTCCTCCCCTTCTGGACCAGGGGTGTTCAGTCTGAGAAGCACCGTGGACACAGGTCCTCTTTCATCCCCAGCTTTAGATACAGAAAGCAGAGCAACTGCTCCAGGACGATAAAAACAGGAAAGAAAACCCTCCATCTGAAAACACAACCACCCTTGGGACTGGCAGCTTGGGACCCGTGCTTGACCAGTGGTGGGTTTCAACAGGGACCTATATCCTGAGGGACAGGGGCTCTGGGGACGGTCCCAGCAGCACCCATGGGGCAGGGTGCGGGCAAGGGTGTCCCGTCCCCTGCTCAGTCCTGGCTCTCGCTGGCATAGATGCCCGCTTCCCAGCGCCTCGCCATGGCACTCTTGTGGTGGGTCACCCGCGTGGTTTCTAGGACCTGTAAGAGGAGACACAGAATCTCCATCGGGATCCCGAACCCCCAGAAGTCTTCCCCCACTGCCAGCTTGGAGGAGGGATCTAGAGCAGGGCAAAGCAGGCCCACTCCCCTCCTCCGTTTCAGACCCTCTACCTCTGGGAACAGAGCCAAGGAATGTGCTAACCCACGCTGAGACCCACAGCAGCTCAGCTGCTGGGGTCTGGCATTCTGGACCCAGTACAAACACAGATTCCACAAATCCACAGACAGGCTGTCTCCGAGGAGTCCCTCTCTCAGAGAACATGCCTTTGTCCCCGGCCGGACCCACCCCAAGCCTTCACTGTGGGGTAAAGGGGTGGCATGCAGAGCTTGCTCACACTCTGTGCCCACGGCCCCCAAGGCAGGTCCCAGCAAAGCCCACCCCAGGCGGCCACAAAGGACCCGCGTGCAGAAGAAAAGCTGGGGGGCTGCACGCCCCAGGCAGGGGCCCTGTCCCCAGAGGCACACTCACCTCCAAGTCGATGAGGTCTGAGGCGCTGATGCCGGCATACTGCAGGAAGGGGACACGCATCAGCCTTGGCCCCACGCCCCGCCCCAGAGCCTGCTGGGTGGCACAGTCCCGCGAGTGCCCGCCATCACCCCAAACTCAACGTGGTGTGCCACGCACTCCCCCTCAGTGATGGCCTGAAGCCCCATTCCCAACCCTTTTCTCTCTGGAAACGTTGCCATTGTGATAAAGACGGTCACGGTCAGCTGAGCTGTCGTGCCCAAGCCCCGTGCCCAGGCTCACAGGGGGGCCTTCTTACCGTCCTGTGCACTTTACAGCAGGGAGCCCACGGTTCAGAGAGGGGCAAGGGTTGGCCCAGTGTCTGGCACCAGCAAGCGGCAGAACTGGGACTGGAGCCTGGACTAGGGGACCAGGCTGTGAGCCTTGGCGGGGGCTAGAGCTGGTGGTGTTCTCCGCGGGCCAGAGATCCCACCCAGGGAGGCCGTGGCCTCAGCCCTGGGAGGGCGATGCCTTGAGACCACTGCCGTGGACACAGGCGATAGGAAGGATGGCGGCGCTGCTACATCTCATCCCCTGCTGCAGACTGACCTGGGGCCGCGTGCGTAGGCGGCCCCTGGCGGTGGAAGCCTGGGTGTGTGGAGACACCCATTATACCCAGTCTGCGGCACTTCCAGGCGCGGGAGACTGAGGCACAGCCTCCCACAGGGCAGTGAGGGAGGCCGGCTTCAACCCAGGTCACACCTGAGGCTCCCTCAAGCGACCTGTGGTCCTAATGGGGTGCCAGACTTCCGCCAGGCCTGGGGGGCTGGCCGGGGCTCGAGACTCACCCGCTGCTCCTTCCTTCTCCTCTGCTCTGGACCCCTGTCGGTGGGGTCCTCCGCTGTCCACACCAGGCCCGAGTGCAGGTGCACGGGGCTGAAGAAGTGGGTCCCCGACACTGCGTAGCTGCCCGAGATGCCTGCGGGGAAAGAAGAGCCATCAGGGAGGGTCCTCGGGCCGTGAAGGCACAAGGCCTGGGAGACTCAGGGTCTCTGGCCAAGGACCCGCGTCAGGAGACAGGCAAGCCGACAGACAGACAAAGCGACAGCGAGCCTGGGAAAGGTACAGACTGACCAGAATAAGCGGTCAGGAGACACTGGGTGGACAGACAGGCCCCCTGCCGCACGAACACAGACCGCGACCCAGAGGGCACGGCGTCCGCAGACCGTCTGCCCCGAGAGACCCGCATCCACTCTGACAAAGCCAGACCCCAGGCAAAGCTGGCGTCTCCGGCGGAGTCCAGGGCGTCGGCACCCACCAGCATGCAGAGTGGGCTGGGGGAGTGGACGCGACCCCCGGCCCCGGGACTCCCCACGCCACGCCCCTCCCGACGCGCCCACCCGCGCCCTCCAGCCTCCCAGGCAGGAGCAGAGCCGCCGCTGCCCGCGCCGCCGTCCTCACCCGAGGCCGCGGAGGAGCTCCCGGAGTCCTGGTCGTCGCCGTGGACGGGGGGCGGGGAGAACACCTCTGGGCACAGGGCAGGGCGCCGCTCCTCCGCCGCCTCCCGCTCGCGCTGCAGGACGCTCTCCACCTCCCGCTGCAGCAGCTCCGACGACCGGGGCCTTGGCCGCCCCGGCGCTGGGGTGCCCCCCGTCTCCCAGCCTCGGCCCTCGGCCCGCGGGGGCACATCAGGGACCCGGAACCGCAGCGGGCTCAGGTGGAAATACTCCCAGCGGACGACACCCCCGTACGCTCGCCCGCGCCCCTGGGGGGGCCGTGGGCACTCGCGCTGCGTGCCGGGGGGGGTTCCAGGGGCCTCCAAGGGCCGCCTCGGAGACCCCGCGGCCCCGACGGAGCCCGCAGCCTCGGCCTCGTCCGCAGAGAGATCGCGGGGCTGGGCGCGCGCCTGGACGGCGGGGACGCCCCGGCTGCCGGCGCGCAGGAACGGCTGGTAGGCGTCCGCCGGGATGCGGTTCACCTTCCTCACCTGGGGGCCGGGGTCAGCCGCGCGGCCGGCCGAGGCCAGGTCCAGGATGGAATCCGAGCTGAAGGCTCTCCGGAGCCCAGACTGGGTGGCCGCCGGCCCCTCCCGCCGCCGGTGGTCCTCCTCCCGCCGCGTCCCCTGCGCCAAGTCCCACTGCACGTAGAGGGACGGGCGCCCTCGCTCCCGCCGTGGGGCCGCGGTCAGGTTCACCGTGGTCAGCAGCAGCGGCCGCGTGGGGATCTCCACCAGCTCCTGCTGGCTGCTCGCCTGTCGCAGCCCCCTCTGCTCTCTCAGGTCCGCTTCCCGCTCCTGGGCTAGCCGGATCTCCCGCTCGATGGGGGTCTCCTTGGCGAGCTGCGGGGACCCCGCCTGGGCCACGGAGGCTGCGTCATGCGCAGCCTGGACGCCAGATGCAGCCGGAAGGCCCCCGACCCTCTTCTCTGGAGGGAGCACCTCCCTCTCCCGGGGGTGCGGCGGGACAGCGCACAAGCTGCCCTGGAGTGGCCCACTTGAGGCCCTGGGGGCCTGGCCGCCGCCAGGTGGAGCACGAGCAGGGGCCACGCGAGCTGCAGGGTGCAGAGGGCCCCCGGCGCTGGCCTGCTCTAGGTTCAGAAACTGCTGCCTCGCCGCCCGGAAGTCAATCTGCCCCCTGTCCACGGCGCTCTCCTCCAGGGGCCCAGGCTGCGGCTGGGGGCTTCTGGGCTCCGGGAGGCCAGGGGTGCCATGGAGCGTGGCCACCGTGCTGCTCTTCCTGAGGGCCTGGCCCTGGATGACCACCCAGCGTTCCTGCTCCAGGTCCCCTGGCCGCCAAGGCTGGGCGTCCCTGGCGTCCAGGTGGCAGGCCTTCGCCTCCTCATCCTTGTCGCCCTCCCGCCAGAGCGTCCACGGGGATGGCCGGCCAGCGAAGGCACGTGAGCTAGAGGACGCCCCCGTCCTGGCCTCATTCAGCCGGGCCTCTTGGTGGGCGGGCCACGCCTGTGGCTTGTCCTGGCCCCAGCCGCTGGCCTCTGGCCCCGCATCCACCACCTCAAACGTGCAGCTGGTGTCCCCACTGGGGTCCAAGCCAGCCAGGCGAGTTGAGCGAGCAATGCTGAAGATGGGGTATCTGGTCACTCGGTCCATGTCCTGGCGGTCTCAGCTCCCCGAGGCTCCCAGGGGCGGAGGTGCTCTGGGCTCGCTGAGGAAGAAGAAGGAAACAAGGGCCAACAGGTCAGGAGACAGAACTTCTCTTGGGGAGAGGCTCGATTTCCAGTCCCTTCAAGGGCAAAGTCCTGGCCAAGGGGCCTCTGTGATTGGTTCCGGGATGGGTGAATGAGCCGGCCTCGCCAATCAGAGCGCTCTACCCTCTGGCCTCTGTGATTGGCTCAGGGATGGACATATGACCCAAACTGTCCTAGACCTGAAATCCTCATCTGAACCTTGGCAATTACCATGGAAAACAGGACCCTGACCCACCCTGGCTTGGGGCACTGGGAATGTTTAAGCTCGGGGATCCAGCCACACCTGGATCCCACTCCTGTACTGACTCGCCCGTCTGCCCCCGAGTGTCTGATGTTTGTGGGTGCCCCACTCCTGCCACTGCCCTCCCCGCCCAGCTCGCCATGGCCAGACCCAAAGCCGTCCCTAGGCGGCCTCCCCGGGCCCCTGCGGGCACACGCTCTGCCTCTCTTCCAGACGCACACTGTGAGGCTTCTTCTTGATGTGATGCTTAGTAAGAGGGCCTGCCCCTTACTAAGAGATGTCAGGGGAATCTGAGACTCAGAGAGATGTGGTCGGTAGCGGGGACTCCCGCTCCCGGTTCCTCCCCCTACCCTGCTTAGAAGGACACTTTGTCCAGTCCCACTCAGTCCCCCACCTCCGTGCCATAAAGCTGGGACAAGCTAGTGAACACCTTGGACCTTGTCCTGCTGGACCGGGAAGGCCTGGAGCCTCTGGGCCACACCCCAATCCAGTGCCCCAGGGGGGACTGCACCCCTTCCAGCATTGGAGTTCTGCTGAGCACAGCTCCAGGAGCCCTGTCCGCCAAGGTCACGCACATGCTCTCAAAGCTCTGGGGCTCCTGGCCTCTCCTGCAATTCTCGAGACCTTTGTCTGGCCCCCGCACGAACCCCCAAACTTTACAGGCATTCCTACCCCACATCCGACCCGCCTCCTCCCACAACTCCCTCTGCCTGGAAGGCTTCATTTCTATTCCTCTACAGCCTTCTTACTGGCAGCCTGCAGGACACCTCCTCCAGGGAGCCCCCCCACCCCGGATTGCCCCAGCAGAGGGGCAGAGGCAGAGCATGTGCCCTTGGAGCCTGTTGTCTGAACATCATCTGCAGCCTGGCTCAGCACCAAGTTAGGCATCCCCTTCCGCAGCTGAGGAGAGAAGACTGGCCGTTCCCAGCTCTCCGAGCAGCCCTGTCCTTGCGCCCACCCTCGGTTCTGTCAGAGCTGCTCTGGCATCGGCTGTCTCTTGGCCAACTTGCTTGTAAAGGCTGTGGTTCTAAAAAGGAAAACGCAGCCCCTCCCTGAGCTGGAGAAGTGGCATTAAGCACCAGGAAATCCATCCTGGGAACGATGTTGGAACTGGCACGCATCACATCGGCTTTTGTGTGTATCAAATACTGAAACTATACTTGGAAAACCAGTAGTTAGAGACAAGCAGGCCTGGGTCATAAGCCCCAGCCAAGGGGACGGAGCCCCTGCCCCCACAAGCACACAGCCCCCATGGAGGTATGCTCCCTGCAACTCACAGGGTGGGTACACCTCTGAAAGGGGGTAAGCTTCTTCGAGTTTTGTCTTCTCCCGCTGGAGGCCATCAGCCCAGGTCCCTCCCGCTAGTGGACCAGACGAGCCTTTCCCTGCAGCCCAGAGTCTGGCACACAGCATGGATTTCATCAGGATTGCTGCGTAAGGCGTGGTCTCTGCACACACAGCTCCTCCCGGGTGCCCAGGACGGGGAGTCGGGCTCGTTTCTGCCACAGACCTGGCTGCCCCCCAGGGCCTCCCCTCCAGCCCCGAGCCCCATGCTGACCCTGAGGGCTGGGCAGGAGTGTGCCCAGGCCCCGGATATCCTCAGGGAGGGCAGGCGTGGGAGGGGGTGACGCAGGAGTGTTTGCTGAGTAAGCAAGCGAACGTTCACCCAGCAGGATCTATATGCTACACAGGACATCGGCTCCGGGCAGAACCACCACCTGCCGGGAGGGTGTCTGGCTCCTGGTGGAGTCGGGTGGAGTACAGGTGGGGATGCTGCTTTTTCCTGGTCCGTTCCTGCTGGGTGATTCACCAAGGCCACTGGGGTGGGGCTCGGGCGGGGGCTCGGGCTTGCGTCCTTGGGAGGCCCTCTGCTCCCCGTGGGCCTCAGTGTCCACACTTGGACTGTAGGTAGAGCCCACGGCCCTTGGCTCTGTGCTGAGACCTGCCATGCACAGTCAGTGCCCTGAACCCAGTATACAGTAGGTGCCGCCTAAATGCTTTCATGGTGGTTGTTAATATCATTATTATTCAAACCCTGGACCCACCACGGATCTCAGGCAGGATCCCCCTCCTACAACACCTCAGTCTCCTTGTGTGTGAGTTGGGAGGACGCTGCACCCACACGGGGCCGGAGGAGCAAGGAGGCCTAGGTGGGATGAACCCCAGGGAGGCCCCCAGAGGCTCCTCACAGGGGAGTGGTAACAACAGTTCCAGAGCCCCCGAGCGGCCTTCCCGGAGCTGCCCCTGCACAGAGCACCACACGCCAGCACCCAGGCAGCTCCTCTTAGGGCCCTGGGACGGGAGCAGAGAGAGCTGAGGCCCAGAGAGGGGAAGGTGCTCACCCAAGGTCACGTAGGGACAGAAGGGCAGGTCCTGAAGCCCGAGGCTCTGTTCCAGTCGGTCACCTCCGCTTCCAGGAAGCTCCCCAGACCCACCCCGCCGGACACTGATACCAGACCCGAGTGCAGTTTATGGCCCCTAGAGCCACGCACCTGCCTCCTGCTCTGGAGCAAACTCCCTTTGGAGGTGCGGAGGCTCACACAGGGCAAGGTCTCACGGCAAAGTGGGGTGCAGGCACTCGGGCCTGGGCAGAGCCTCCAACACCTGGAGACCCCGGGACTCTGAACGGAGTGTCTGCCCCAGGCCCACAGGCTCCCAGCCGGACCCCCTCCCAGGCCAAGCCTGCCCCACCCACCACCCCTGTGTCCTGACCCTGGACCTCATGGGAGGGGTCACCCATCAGGCAAGATCTCCACCCCCAAGTTTCTGGCTCGTGCTGATGGCTGTTCCTGCAGGGTTCTCAGGACCAGGGAGGATGCAATCAGATCCCTTCATTGGAGGCTCGAGGCTCAAGGTTCTTGGGTTTGGGGGCCGGAAGCCCAGGGCAGACACTGAGGCCCCAGCAAGGTTCTGGGACTGAGCCTCTGCTCCCCCACGTGGGGGTGAGGCAGGAAGGATAGAGACCCCCTAAGACCTCAGAGGCACCAGGGGTGCAGAGCAAGGGAGGCACCCCAGCCCCTGAGAGCATAACTGGAGGGGGTGGGGTGGGGAATGGGGGATGGGTCCCCGAGGACCCCACAGGGTACCAGCTGGCAATGCGCCCCTATGCCGGAAACAAACCCCGCCCCCCACGGGACCCCCCCCAGCCCCCACGGGGTCCCCGCCCCATCCCCGCGTGGCGGGATCCCTGCCCCACCCCCACCCCATGCAGGACCCCCGCCCCGCCCTGCCACATCCCGGGCCTCACCTGCGCGCTCCTGGCCCCCAGCAGCCCGAGCCTGGCTCTGACCCTGCCGACAGGCGACAGGCGCAGAGACGCTGGGTGCCGCCCCGCCCACAGGTTGCCAGGGGACAGGGCCCCGCCAGGGGAAAGCGGGTGCACCCTCCTCCCAGGCTCCACCTGGGCTCGGGAAACAAAGTCCAGAGGAGGAAGGAGAAAGACGATACCCAGGCAGGGCGGAAGGCAGGCAGCATGCCCATGGCCCGCCGTCCCTCAGCCTCCAGGGCCTCCAGCCCCATGGAGCCGGAACTCACAGAGGCCTCTTTCTTGCTGCTGCCAAGCTCTCCAGGGTCCCAGAGAGGGGTGTCACTGCCCAGAGTCCCACAGTGGGGCCCGTCCAGCCCCCTGCCCCCCATGCCACCTGGCTCAGCCCATCCTGTGGGGCTACTACCCCGGAGATCCCTTTCGGGTGCAGGCCCAGCCTGCTGGTCTGTGGGGGGGCCATGAGGGGTTCTGCCCGGCCTGGATTCAAACCCCACTAAGCCTCCCTGAGCCTGTTCCCTCCTCTGAGATGAGGACATTACAGGGCTGGGAAGGTCCCCCCGGCCACCTCGACATGAAAGACCAAATGAGGACATCAAAAGTGCCAGAAAACGTTTGCAGGATGGGCAAAGCCCAGGCCCCGCTGATGGACGGGGCACCGAGGCTCGGCGTGGGCAGGGGGTCCTGCCTGATTCTCCGTCAAGGACCGCAGAAGCCCAGCCTCTCTGGGGAGTAGACCCAGCGGCCCAGCGGTCAGTCCACAGTGGGGACAGGAGAGGGACACACACACTGTGAACGGGACCCTCATCCCCTGCTCTGGGGCTCTGTCCTGACTGCCTTGTGGCTGGCTCTGGGGACCCTCTGACCCTCCATCTCCTCTTTCATCAAATGGGAGGACTGGGATTTGAACTGGAGCCCCTCATCCCATCCACTCCCCCCTGTTGCTTATACAGGGAAAGTGCGGCCCCAAAGGGCAGAGACTGGGTCACCCCGCTCACTGGGACAGTGGAGGAGACAAGGACAACCATCTTGCCCCTGGGGTGGGGCAGCTGCCCTCTCAGGGTTCATGAAGCCCGTGGTACAGAGAGGCAAACTGAGGCACAGAGAGGGCGGAGAACGTCCAAGCTCAGCTGGGGAGACAGAATCGGGGGATGGCAGCCGCTGTAAACTGTCCCCCCACCATGCCCCCCCGCTCGTTTCCCAGGGACTGGTTTCTCGGCAGAGCTGGGGGGAAAGCTGGGAATCCAGCAAGGGGCTGCCGTGGGCGGGGCGGGTTAGGGAAGTTAGCAGAGAACCAGTGCTGTCCCCGCCCGGTCCCACTTACCTCCAGGCCTCACCTGCCCAGGTGCTGCTCAGATGGACACCGGGACAGGTGGGCACCCACTGACGCCCCCCACCCCCACCCCTGGCCCTAGGGTGAGCCCGAGGGGGCCCGGGGACTGCAGATGGAGGGAGAAGCCAGCTCCAGGGGGGCCCCTTCCCCGGCCTGGCCGCCCTCGTGGGGCCGCACCCCTGGCCTGGCCACACCCTCCCGCCCAGGTGAAAGCCAAGGACTGCGGGGCTGTTCACACGGTTTATTTGCTTCTCTGGGAAAGTCAAGAACATCAGGGCCTTGTCACACATCAAAGCAGAGGGGCACTTCCGCGGACGCTCACAGCTCAAGGACTCAAGGAGGAGGGGGTCCCACGGCCACTGCCCAGGGTCACCTCAGAGACGGCCTCCCCCCGCCACCGAGGGGCAGAGCTGAGTCGGGGTCCAGGCTGCGGCCGGAGGTGGGCCCTGCACCTGCCCTTGGCAGCAGGCGGGAGGCCCCGGGGGCGGGCCGAGAAGGGGCCTCACGGCCACAGCCACAGGTGTGGGTCTGTGAGCGTGCGCACAGGTGTGCCTCTGGGGGCGAGTGTGGCTGCATCCGGGGGGACCCCTCACCCCTCCCGGCCAGAGGGGGACAGGCTCACGTCGGGCGGGGCGGCGCAGGGGACTCTGCTGAGGAAGCCCCCTGCCCCGGGCTGCGTGCGCCCGCCGCTGCCCAAAATGTGCCAAGCCCAGTGGAGCTGGCAGTGGCCTGATCTCTGGGGTACGGCTGGAGGGACCCAGCGCCCTGGTCCAAGCAGGTCCTGGGCCGCCCCCCCCAGGGTCCCCAAATTAGCACCAGGAGGAAGGAGGGCCCAATGGGAGTCGGAGCTAGGACAGGAAGTGGCTCATGGGGGCCTGCCTTATGCAAGGGGCAGCTCTAAGGGCCCGGCCTGCAGGACACAGTGCAGGGGTCACGGACCCCTCTTGCCTGGGGGGGATGTTGGGGGGGCTCTCCCTTCCCAGGCTCCATCACCCACTGGCCAAGCCCCAAGAGGGCATGGGGGGAGGGGCGCATCAGGCTGGGGATGCCTAGAGGGGCCTTGCTCCTCTCCACGACCTTGAACCTGACCTCTGACCAAGACTCCCCAGAGAGGCATGGCCTTACCCCAACTGTCCAAGCTATGGACACCAGAGCTTTGGCCGAGAAGCCCCACTCTCAGGGGCTAAGCGGGGACAGAGTGCGCTCCCAGGAACCCTCAGCTCTCCGGGTCCCTTTCTGGCAGGACGTCCCCTCGGGGACCTCATTGGAGGTGGCAGGAAGGCACAGGCAGGAGGCCCAGAGGGTGGCTGGCTGGCCCGGGGCTGCGTCGAGGTCCCCAGTCACCCCGGCCAGGACCGCTGGGGCTGGGGGCCGTTTTGTGGAGCTGCCGTGACGTGGGGGGGCCCTTCATTTCGGGGAAAGCGGGTCTGTCCATGTCTCTCTCCTACCAGACGTAGGTGCACGGCTCAGTGGCTTGGGGGTGTCAGGGTGGTGATGGGGTGGGGGACCCCGTTCCTCTCTCTCCAGCAGAAGAAACCTCGGAAGAAACATGTGACAACCGCACATCCTGGGGCCCGTGACTGCGGGTGGAGGGGGGCAGATGCCGGGGCCGGGCTGGTGGGGGGCTGTGGTATGGAGGGCGGGGCTGGGGGGCTGGGGGCCGGGGGGCTCACATGACGGAGCAGCATTTACAACGCTGCTTCTTCGCGTCGAGGTCCTGGGGGTCGCTGGCGGGGGCCTCGGGCCCCACCTGGTTCTCTTCCCTGGAGCCCGCGGTGGTGGGGGGCTCTGTGGCGCTGCCGTTGGGCGGGGTGGGCTCCTTGGGCTCCGCCGCGTCCTCGATGACCACCAGCTCAGCCGTGATGGTGTCCTGAAGACCCAGCACCTTCTGGCTCTCGGCCTCGTCCTCCACGTTCTGGTAACCCATGAAGATCAAGGTGACCGGGGGCTCCTGGCCGGGCCGGATGCCTGGCGGGCCGGACGTGGCCTCTCCCGGCTGCGCCTGTACTCCGGGGATCTCCCGCCTGGACGGTGTGGTCTGCACGGGCTCCTTGGACACCCCCCGGGTCTCCGCCGTCCCAGCCGTGGACCCGGCCTCGCTCAGCGTGACCTCGTCCGCCTTGTGAAGGAGGTCATCTACCTCGGAGGAGCTCAACGGGCAGACCCCGTTCTCCGCGGTCCCGTCCACGGCATGGACCACTGGCGGGGGCGGGAGAGACAGAAAGAGAGAGAGTGAGCGGGCTCTCAGAGGTGGAGGCCTGGCAAGGCTGCGGGCCACCCTCCAGGCTGAGAGAAATGAGAAACTGAGTCACACCTTTAAAACCAGCTGCCCCCAAGCTCCACAGAGGACAGTGTCCAGGCCCAGGCGCCGGTCAGAGACCAGGGGGACTGGAATCCAGATCGGGGACTGTGTGCGCCCACATTTTGCGGCATTTCCACATTGCCCGCAACTGGGTCCCGCACGGCCCCCCAGCAAACCCAGTCTGCTTCCCCCACTGCGAAGATGGCCCGGCGCCGGAAAAGGCCGAAGCCAGCCTACGGTCACACCGCTAGCCAGGCCGGGCCGCTGCTCTGTCTCCGGAGCTAAGTGCGTCTCCCTCCATGAGGAATTTCGGGGACTGTGACAGCTTCCTTCCTTGGGTCCCTGTGGTTTAGCTTGGTCACTCAGTGTCCGGTTCCCCAGGAAACGCGCTGCAGGCCAGGTCTGCTTTACTCTGTCCCTGGAACCAGTGCTGGCCTTCTCTTTTTATTTTATTTTTTTAAAGATTTTATTTATTTATCTGACAGAGAGAGAGAGATCACAAGTAGGCAGAGAGCAGGCAGAGAGAGAGGGGGGAAGCAGGCTCCCCGCTGAGCAGAGAGCCCGATGTGGAACTCGATCCCAGGACTCCAGAATCATGACCTGAGCCCAAGGCAGAAGCCTAACCCACTGAGCCACCCAGGCACCCTGGCCTTCTCTTTCACATGTAAGCACTTTATAATTCCCATGTTGATGGCCTGTCTCTTGAAACCAAGGTTCATGGAGAAGGGTATTTTTAAATTTGGGGAGGAAGGGGACTCCGGTCCAGGAACACAGGGCATAAGATAGAAACTTCATAATGTTCCTTACGGCCGCCTCTGCGACCTCGGGCACAATCACTTTCTGAAATGGCTCTCCCTGTGTTTGAAAGGAAGGCACAGTCTCCCCTAGGCAGTTCTGTGTGTGCAAGGAATCTTGCTCAATGTCTTTTCCAAACCTCCCCAACTGCCCCATGGGGTCTGATCTGCCGTGTCCTGAGGGCTGGGTTTTGACGCCAGCAGGAGAACTGGCCACACTCTGACACCAGCCCAACAAACTCCTAGAAACACAGCTGCTCGCCTGTGGGAGGGAGGGACACACTGGCCCTCGGGACTTGCCTCCTCCTGGGCCAAGGGTCAGGGCTCCAGTTCCTGGCTGCTGGCCAAAAGGAAAGTACTTTCTACTTTCAGTTCCCAAACCCCTGGGGAAGGGTGTCCATACCTCAAGGCTTTGCAGCAACTCTGGGCTGGAGGCCCAGAGGGTGGGGTGTTCCCAGATTACACAGAATCAGGCTGAGTATTTCCCCCTGGCCACTGCCCCCAAATAGGAACCCAAGCCCTCGGCTGCCATGGAAACGGATCACGTCCCCATTGCTAAGCAACCAGACTCCAGTCTGGCGGGTCCAGAGTCCCCCAGGGCTGGGCCAGGCTGCACTGAGTGGCCGAGTCCTCTGCCTCTAGCCCTATGAGGTCGTTCTTGCGCAGGAGATGAGGTAGCTGAGACTTGTCCAGGGTCACACAGCTAGTGAGAGCTGGAACCGGGGTACCACTCAGGTCTATGTCCCCAAACCATGGCTGACACTAGGCCCCCTTCAAAGCATCCTACATGCTGCAGAGACCCACCAGCCTCTAAGAACATGAGGCCTTGGGAACCAAAACCACGGTGAGCTCTCATTCCACAGCCACCACGGTGCCTACAGTGATAATGATAACTTAAAGATAGTAACAAGTGCTGCTGAGGATGTGGGGAGATGGGGACCGTCACACACAGCTGGGAAGGGGAATGGGGCCACTGCTGCAGAAGCCAACCCTGGCAGTTCCTCAAAAGGTTAAAACAGAATCCCATACGACCCAGAAATCCCATGCCTAGATATCACCCAAGAGAAATGAAAACATACGCCCACATAAAAACGTGTACAGCATTCTCTAACCAAAAGGTGGAAACATCCCAGACAGCCATCAGCTGATGACTGGATAAACAAAACGCGACCCACCCAAACAGTGGCATATTATTTGGTCATAAAATATGAACGTGGATGGACGCCGACCCACGACGCTCAGGGAGGGAACCAGACACAGGAGGCCACGTGGGGTGTGAGTCCACGTGTGTGACACGCCCAGACCAGGCTAATCCACAGGCAGGAAGGGGGTTAGTGGACGCTATGGTGGGGATAGGAGGTGATGGAGTTTCTGTTTGGGGAAGAAAAATGTTCTGGAATTGGCGAGAGTGCACGACCTGGTGAATAAAGCCCACTGAACTGAACGCTGAATTGCGTGTTCTGGGCCCTCCCACTCCATACGCCGTGTTCTTGTACAGACGGCATTTGCGGACTTGCTAATGGACTCCGCAGCGGACGCTATGATTTCATGCTCGGCTTGGGTGCTTACGTCCACGAGCGCCACTGCGTGAAGAGAGCAGATGTTTGCCTCAATTTTCAATGTACCTTTCTAATGTCTTCTTAAAACATATTTTAACTAAAGCGGGCTTGTCTCCTTCTTCTGCCATCATAGTAAATATTGCCCTCCCTGGGTTTACTTATAAACTACCCTTACAGGCCAAGCCAAAATGACCAAAGTTTAACTGCTGAACTACTTATAAAATCTCCGTCCAAATACTGATGGATAACACAGTTTAAATGAAAGTTTTACTTACCTAAAAACAAAAAAGAGTGAATTTTATATATGTGAATTATATATAGGCAGAGAGATAGAGAGACAGACACACACTGGGGCTTTGGACTAAGGTCGCCCTGCTCCTCCCAGTCAGGTTTCCTTGTGGGTGTCTCTCACTCCCTGTCCCCCTCCCAGCTGCCAGAGGGAACCCCAAAAACCAAACCAGATCTCAGCACCAAGCCCCCTGCTCACCCCTCCCTCCAGGGCTTCACCTGACCCCTCCCCCCACCCCACATCAGCCCCACAGGCTCCCTTCAGTTCCTCTAGTCCAGCAAACTCCATCCCACCACAGGGCCTTTGCACATGCTGTGGTCTCTATGAGACACCCCATTTCTTTGCACACTGCTGCGCATTCAGTGAGCTCCTGCTCACTTCCTCTGAGGAGCCACCCCCCGGCCCCTCCCTGTCCTGCTAGAACCTCCCAAGGTCCCCTGTGCATCTCTGGGGGTTTTGTCACCTTCGTCGAAACAATACTTATTCAAATTATTTGTGAACCTCAGGCTGCAAGGCTCTCCCAGGACAGAGCTAAATGCCACTCTGATTTGAGTCCCAGAGCCCAGCCCAGAACCTGGCGCTCAGCCAAGCTTGAGGACAAGTTCCTGGAGTGAACGAAAGACGGGGCTGCAGGTCCAGCCGGGAACAGCCTCTACGCCAACAGTGGGCTACGGCCATGGGACCCTGCCCTGAACAGTGTCTCCAAATCAGGGTGGAGGTGACGCTCTGGCTCAGGCTGTGGGAAGGGGGTGGGGTGGGGGGGGGTGGGGGCTGCATACCTTTGGTCTCGTCTTCGTAGACCTTGATGCCCTGAGGGAGCGGCTCCCGAGGGAGCAAGGTGGTGCTGGACAGCACCCGGGTCTCCCCAGTCACCTTGTCCTTCTCCACCGTGATCTCAACCGAGTACATGGCTGGCACGAGAGGCACGGGTTACCCGAGGCCACCTGCCCACGTGCCCCCCGCCGGCTACAGGCAAGCCAGGGAAGGGGAGCCAGCAGCGCGGAGCCAAGCAGTGGGGACGCCCTCTCCACGGCACCCCCACCTCCACACCCCCCACAGCTTTCCAGCACCACGGGCGTCTGCCTGAGATCCTCTGCTTGGCACTCAAGGCCCGTGCTCGCGATCCCCTCCCGTCTGGAAAGCCTCAGACTCTTCCCGTTTCCTCGGAGCCGCAGAGTAAGTCGGAGGAAGGCAGGCCTTGACCACAGGCACAGCCCAGTGTGAGCTGGGGTCAGCAGGCACGCGCTCCCAGCTGGGTCTCAGCCCCGGACCCCCCGGCTCAGCCTGTGTCTGCTTCGCACCTTCCTTCCATCAGCGCCCGTGACCCGGTCCCCAGCTCTTGCGCTACGAAGGGTGCATGAGACCCTCCGGAGCGTCAGGACAGTCGGGACCATGGTTCAGGAACCACTGCACTCCATAGAGATCATCACTGCAAAGCTCACGTGAAGAGACGGTCCGACAGCAAACCCACCCCCGGGCGCTGACCAAAGCCTCCAGGACCTCACCCTGAGCCCCAGGATCCCACCCTCTCCTCCACGCCTGCCCTTGGGGTCCCCTGGGAGCCTCTGAGTCAGCGCGTCCAAGCCTCGCTCCCAATCTGCCCTTGTAAGCTGCCCCTCCTGGGTCTTCCCAGCCTGGTCAAGGCAATTCCCTCCTCCTTCTCTCTCACCCCCCATGTCATCTGCAAATCCTGTGGGTTCTGCCTTAGAAACACCTGGAACCCGCCCACATCTTGCCCCCCTGGGGGTCCCCTGTCCAGGCCACCTTCCCCCCCCCCCCCCCCCCCGAAACCGGGCCGGCCCCCCCCCCCCCGCCCCCCCTTGCTTCCCGCTACACCCACGGCCTGTTCCCCCCGCTTGCCGCCAGAGGGCGCCAGTGCGCACCGAGTGGGGCTGGTCCCTGCTCTGCCTGAAACCCTCGGGGGCTCCCTGGTGCCTCGGGGTAGAGGCCCCAGTCCTCTTGTCACCTCCTCCCTCTCTCCCCCTCACTCATTCCACGGCCTCCAGGTTCCTCCTCCAACAAGGCAGGTATGGTCCAGCCCAGGGCCTTTGCATGTGCTGTGCCCTCCCCCTGACACACCTATCCCCCCACCCCACCCCTGCCCCCGACGCCTTGCTCCCTCACTTCTTTTGGAGCCTTGCTCAAACGTCACCTGCTAAGTTTGACCCCCCTGAGCCCTCTGATTAACCTGCACCCCCCTCCAGCTCTGCACGTTGCTGTCTTTTCTCCACCAGTTTATGGCATAGGGCATTGTCCTTATCAGGACGTTAGCTCCCTCAGGCTGTAGCCCTCACACCTTGCATACAGCAGGTGCTCAATAAGTGCTTACTGAATGACTGACCAAATGAATGTTACTTAATTCCACATCCCTACACAGCCTAACACCCTCACCTCCATACAGTTGGGTGGGTTGTGCACCACACAAGGTCGTTGGCTAAGGGTCGGCGCAGGGTTGGTCTAAATGGCACAGAGGCCCCGAAGACACCCGCTTCTCTGGCAGATGCTACCCTCTGCCTCCTGCCTCCTAGGGCAAAGTGGCCTGAACCTGCACAAGACCCTGGGCCACCCCTGCCACCCTCTCCTTCCTGGGTGTCCTGGTGTCCCGGCCACCACGTCCCCAAGATGGTCTTCACCTCCCTAAGTTTCGTGCCTGCACAGCTCATGCCAGTACCCCGGTACAGCAATTAGGTTCTGCCTGCTGTGCTCACCGGTCCCTTCTCTGGGCTAGTGCCAGCAGGTAGGGACTGGAGGGGCTCTTGTCTTGTGGCAGAGCCGGGATCCAAACTGCAGCTCCGGGAAGCTTAGCACTAACCCGTCTCCCTCGGCTTCCCGGAAGCACAGAAAAGTCTGAGTCCCCCCTGGTCCCCTCCAGGAACAGGGTGCTCCCTCCCTATCCTGAGGCAGCCTGGGGACAGCGGAGGAGGGAAGATCTGCCGTGGGCGTGTGTGAGCTGCTGTGCGAGTGTGTGCAGGTGTGTGCAAGCATGTGCGGGCGTGTGCAAGCATGTGTGGGCAGGTGTGTGGCCCCTGCCAGGCCCCGGGAGTGAGCAGCAAGGTTAGGGGGATGCCACGAGGGGTGCTGGGTTAGGGCGCTGCCATGCGAGGGGGCCCATCTTCTCAGGGAAGCTGGGCCAGCACGTGGCCATGGAGCCAAAGCAGAGGGGGCCTGGGGCCAGCCACCACCCCCAGGACCACAGCTCCTGCTGAGGGCATGTCTGCGTCTGACCTCGCACCCGCCTCTCCGGGCTCCCCAGGACCAGGGCTTAGCCCAGGACAGCAGCGGGTCCGGGGATGACCCACCTGCCTTCATCAGGGTGGAGCCTTCCACCGGCCTCACGGGCGTGTTGGAGACTCGCTTCTCTGCTCAGTAAGCAAAGGGTGGAGAGAGATGGGGGTCAGAAGGGAGAAGATTGCCCAGGCCCCCAGACATCTACACACCTGCAGACACCCCCAGGCCCCCCCAGACCCCCAGACACTGTCCCAGATGCCTGGGCCTCCCCTGATGCACACATGCACCCAGACCCCCCCCCACGCGTGCATACCCAGAACCCCCAAACACAACCAGTCCCCAGTCCATTTCCATCTCTCAGCCCAGATGATTTTCTCAAAATCCCTGAGAGGCCTGTGTGAATTTTTTTTAATGATTAATCTTTAATTCCACAGTGAGACACTCCCCTGAATAATTAACACACAACAAATCAGGCCGAAGACACTCTGACCACCACACCCAACCCTGGCTGGCGGTTTTCCCTCCGCGCCTTAGATGTGAAAATAGATGAGTTTGAAATACATTTTAAAAATATAACTTAATACTTTCACATGTTCTATAAGCTATTACCTTTAAATTAAGTATATTTAAACGTCCTACAAGTTTGCGAGATGCCTGCAAACGCGTATTATCTTCCTGGAATGACTGCTGAGGAAGGGGAAAACGGATCCCAGACTTCACACTTTTGGCTCTTTTTTTTGGTCTGTTTCCTGCATAACCACCTTCCACATCTGTGCAGGGGGGACCGCACAGTGCCCCCTTCCCAGAACGGCTGAGACCTTAATTTCCGGACCCCTCAGAGCCCATTTTGCAGACGTGAGAACCGAGGCCTGCCCACCTGTGCAGCTGCCCAGAGCGGCTGGACGTGGGGCAGAGGCGGGGCCGGGAGAGAGCGGCACCTGCTGCAGACGGGGGACACCCAGGGCCTCGGGCCTCTCGGGCTAAGACCTCGGGTCCCTCACCGTACCAGCTCCACCCCAGGGTCGCTGCCCCACCTGAGGGAAGTGATGACGTGGGGCTGGGATGGGCTTGGGTCCGGGGCTCGGGGGAAGCAACGGCACCCGGTCCCTGTCGCCGCTGGTTTTATCAGCAACCGGAGCGTCAGGCGTCAGGGGCCTGCCTCATGCCCACCACCCCACTCTGGCCGCAGGACGGAGGCCCCCCGAAGCCTACCTTTGGGCGTGCCCACCGGGGCCTGCAAGAAAGAAGGGAGAGAGGTCAGGGGTGCCGGCGCTCCCTTCCCGCTGACGGAGGTCCCCACCCATGCGCGGAGCGGTGCGGGGAGGGCTCGGCTTTGCCCCCGGAGGCCCCATCGCGGGGGCCGTCTCCTGAAGGGATCCCCCAGCCCTGTCCTAGCCTGTGACAGCCAGGTCACATCCCTGCCCTGCTCAGAAGCTTCCCGTGGCTCCCGAGTGCTCCCCAAACAAAGCCAAAACCCTTCTAGATGACCCCTAGGGCCCTGGGTCCACAGACCCCCGCCTATAAGCCCTCCCCCCCAAAATCGCTGGCCAGCCTCACTGTTCCTGGGACACATTCCCGCCCTGGGGCCTTTGTGTGTGACGTCCCCTGTACCGTGGCTTCTGCCTGGCCAGCTCTCCACTCAGCCCCCCGACCACAATCAAAGTCCCCCCAGTCATGTCTCTGTCCCTTGAGGAACTGTCTCTGGCTCCTTCGGGACGTGGGCATCTCAAGGACAGGGACCCCACAGTCTGTGCTCCATCAACCTCAGGGAAAGCCCCCTCTCATCTTGAGTCCATGCCTGGAGAACTCCTATTCAGTTTTTAAAACCCACCTCCTCCAGGAAGCCTGCCTAGAGCTCCCATGCATCAGCTTCCTCCCCAGGAACTCCACGGTGCCCTTGGGTTTACCCATCCCGGCCCACCATCCTCCCTGCGTTTCTGATCGCCTGATACCACGTCCCTCTGCTCAACTGACGTGAGTCAGGGAGTCTGGGCCCAGCCCACATTGCCCCAGTTTGCCCCACACCAGGCCTTGGCAGATAGCGAGAGCAGGACCAGGGCTGCCAGGGGAACAGCTGGACAGGGCTCAGACACACAGCTTCGATGTCAGTCGTCACAATGCCCCAGGGGCCCCTGCCCCAGCTCTGGGGTCGGGGAGGGCCAGGGAGCGCCAGGGAGACCTGGGGGCCCCGGGAACATCAGCGCCCCCTCACCTGCTGAGCCTCCAACACCACGTCTGCCTTCTGGTCCTTGGCTGGGCTCGGGGCAGCGGGCCTCTCCCCGGCGGCGGCAGCGGGCAGGCCTGCGCCCTCCAGCACCTCGATCTCCTTCTGCAGCCTGGGGGTGGGGCACGGGAGCGACGGTCCTCACTGGGCACTTGTGGGCACCCGCACCGCTCGGGGCTCCTGGCCGCAAGGTCTCCCCACAACCCGTGAGGTGGTCTCACCCTCCCCCTCGCAACTGGGGAAACTGAGACGCAGAGCGGCAGCTGCACGGGCCAGCCAGCAGCGGGGCTAGTGTGACCCCAGGCCGGCCCGTCCACGGGCACCTCACTGCCACAGTTCGCTTCTCTGTTGGTTTCCAACCCGCTCTCCTGCTTTCCGCTCAGAAGTGTGTATTTTTACGGGAAGCTTTATTTCTCCGGGGAAACTAGAAAAACCATGTCACCTTCCAAATACGAGACAATAACGGCGCATGTGACCCGGCGGGAACAGAACAAAGATCTCCAGTCCCCTTGCAGCCAGTGCCCACCGGAGGCTTGGGGCCACAGGCCTGTTGGGCCCTGGGGGTGAGTCTGAGGCCGCTACGGAAGGGAGCGACACCGGCCACCCTTAGGGTCAGCCGGCAGGGTTTCCTGGAGCAGATGTCCAGGCAGGGGCACCAACCAGGGAAAATGCCAGTGGCAGGGGCACCCGAGGAGTGGGCTTCCCTGGGAGGAAGAAAGCCAAGCCCCAAAGCCCTCCGTGTATGCCAGACACAGGGTAGGACTCGCAGCAGGGCCCCTCCGGCATCAAGGCACCCGAGTTTAGGTGGGTGCCCCCCACCCAGGGCTACAGCCAGCAGGGCGGGACTAGAAGCAGCCGCCCAGTCCAGCCCCCATGGGCAGTGATCTCCACCAGCTCTCTGTCCCGCTGGCCCACAGTCCTCTCTGCCCGGTCAGTCTTGGCCTGTCTGACCCCCTCACCCCTGCTCTGGCCCTGGTGGACGCAGGGAAACAGGCCTGGGAAGGAAAGTCCCAGCTGACACCTGCCCCCTCTTCTTCCAAACCCGACCCACCAGGATCCCCAGGTCTTCCCAGCAGGTGTGCCTCGTACCCAGCCGGGCGGAGGGCCAGCGTGCCTCGGGGTCCCGGCCTCTTGCGCCTTCCTTGGCCAAGTGGACATCTGGAATTTTGGCCGCCACTTCCCTCCACCCTGACCCTGCTGCCCTTGGGCTGAGCCTGGACCTCTGCCGGCCTGGAAACTCCAGTCCTTTTGTCCAGCTCCGGGGCCGGCAGGGGGCGGGGACCTGTCACTCTCCCCGGGCCTGCTGCAGACCCAGCTGCCCAGCTGTGGGGCATCAGGACCAAGCGGGGGAAGACTCACCCATTGGGCTGGTGCCAGGAAGGCCCCAGGGAGGCGGCGGCCGGCCACTCCCATCCTCCCGGGCTCTGGCACCCACTCTGCTGGGTGGTTAGAAGAAGGGGTCCCACCAGGCAGCCCCCAGCCCCCTCAAGCCCAGCGTCGATGCTCACAGCCCCGTCCAAGTGAACGGGGCCCTTCCCTGCTCCCACCTGCACAGGAGCCTCCCCCCGGGCCAAACCCCATCCCGGCACGAGGGTGGGCACGAGGGTGGGCACCCCCCAGCCCGCGCACTCCGTAGCCGCCGCAGGGCCCCGCGCAGCCCGCGCCGCACCTGCCGATAGACTCCTCCAGGAGCCGCGCCCTCTGCTCGTCCTCCTGCATCTGCCTCCTCAGGCCCTCGTCGCCCTCCGAGGCCGTGGACGGCGTCCCCTCCAGCAGCCAGCGTTCCCGCAGCGCCTTGGACTGGGGGCACAGGGCTAGAGGTCAGAATCGGGCTCAGGGGCCGCCCTGCCCGCCCCCGCCCGAGGCCCGGTGCCTGGTCCCCAGGGCACTGCCGCCCCCCCACCCCGCCACCCCCGCCAGGCCGGCTCCATGTTGGGGGGGACCTTCAGGTGCTGCAGCTGCCGACGGTCGTCCTCCAGCTGCCGGCGCTTCGCCTCCGCCTCGGCCTGCCGCTTCCGCTTCTCCTGGCGACGGGGATGGGCATGGAGGTCAGGACGAGGCCGGGGGCACGCCGACCCCCCAAAGTACTGGAGGCTCTGCCCACATGAACCCTGCTTCTCTGTGGAGTGGCCCGTTGGACCCTCCCCAGCCCCCTGCCTCCCCGTAGCCCCTCTTGACCCCTGTCCCCCACACCCTGCTGCCCCCCAGCCCCCTGCCCCCCCGCTAGCCCCCAGTTCCCCCCCACCCCCCAGCTCCAGCATAAGGGGCAGGGTTCTAGATCTATACCTCAGCCTGTACCCCCCAACGCACAGAGGGTCTTCATGAGCTAGCGGTGTAAGGGCCACATTCGGAGGAGGCCTGTAGGCTTCCTCTTCCTTTCGTGGGGAGGCACCAGCAGGCACTGGTTCCCCGGGGGCCTTGCCACACCCTGGCTCTGGGTCCCCAAGGCCCTGGACTGGGTGAGGGCTGCCCGACCCCTGTCCACATTGCTAGGGGCCAGGAAACTCACTGCAATGGCTTGGAGCCGCTCCTGCTGAGATGTGGTCTCTGTGGCCAGGACCCTGCGGGGAGGGGATGCAAGGTCACGGTGGGGTCCACCCCTTCCTGCCCTCCACAGAGCTGGTTTGAATCCCAATCCCAGCCCGCCTTCCAGCTGGGTGGCCTCCCCGGCTCCCCTCTGCAAAGTGGGGTCCCTCCCCTACCTCAGAGGCAGTGCCATTCTCTCCACCTGGCCTTATGACCTCACGAAGTAACCCCCACAAACCCCTCCACGGCCCCCTGGGGCTCCCTGGGAACAGGGCCTGAGGACAGGAGGACAGGAGGACAAGTCCCAGAGACTTGGGAAGGGTTTGGGGAGGCGAGAGGCTTGAGCTGGGCCAAGAAAGAGGCGGAGGGACTCGAGCAGTCAGAGGTTGATCAGGAAGATGGACGACGATCAGGACAGCCCCCGCTTCGCGCTCCCACCCACCAAGCACCTCTCGTCCAGCCCTGGGAGGGACACGCGCACCCGGCCCCACCAGACCCACCGCCCTGCCCCTGGGACGTCCTCTCTCCAGAAGCTGCTTCCCTGGAGTCTGCCTGGAGCCCCAAGACACAGAAAGGGCTCCGAGCAACCTGAGAACACGCAGGAAGAAGAGGCAAACCCGAATTCGGCCCCAGACTCCCTCTCCTGTCCACTGCATGCTTCCCAAAAGCCACGCGGTGTGGTTTTTGCCTCAAAGCCGCGTGGACTAGGAGCTTGATAATGTCAGAGGCAAGGAAGGGACAGGCCCTGTGGGGGCAGGCAGCAGGCCCAGGGCCAGGAGGGAGGGTGAATCCTTCCTGCCCTTCCCCTCCCCTCGGCTCCCCTGAACCCCACTACCCACATGGCAGGCCTGGGAGGAGACTGCAAACCTGGCCGCTCCCTTCCATGGTCTCTCACGGGGTCCCTGGGAATGGCACACAGTAGGTGCTCAGTGAAACCTGTGCAGCCCTGAGCGACTGCATACAAGGCACCTGATAGTAACCTCGGCCTCCAGGGCAGGGGGACCAGACGCGGCCTGAAGAGGAGGCGGGGTCTGGAAGTCTGTTCTCAGCCCAAATCCTGAATGACCCCAAGGCCACTCACGCAGGCCTCAACAGTCTCCCGGGGGCAGGGCCTGGTGCCCACAAGGAGGGGCTCTGAGCAGTGGGAACCAGACCCCTCACGTCCCCCTACCCACTCCAAGCCCCTTATCTGCACAGGGACTAAAATTACAGACCCCCCCTTGGTTCTGCTGCACACACCCCTGCCAGCCCTTGGCCCTGGATCGGGATTAGGAACCATTCTGTGGCCTCCAAAGACCCCCCACTCCTTCTAGGCCTTGGTTCTCCTTCTGCACAAACAGCAGGAACAGACGCCCCAGCTCCTGTTCTGTGCCCCCTGCCCCTGTGGTTCAGAAAGGAAACAGAGGCCCAAAGTCACATGTTGTGCTGGGCCCACTCTTGGGCCTCAGCCCTCCCCCCAGCCCAGGTGGCTGCTCCCGGTGGACATCCTCACGAACTGCGATGACCCTCCACCCACTCCACTTGGGTTCAGTTTCCTGGCCTAGCTGAGACCCACAAAATCATCTGGATCTCACGCCCCAGACAGGCGACCCCACCCAGCTCTTCCCTTCCTGGCGGGTGGCACCTGCCCCCTTTGTGCTTCCCAGGGACCCCAGCACCGGTCACACCCTCTGTGGCTTCCGTCTCTCCTTCCTCAGGGAGGCTGTGTTCAGTTGGGTGGAGCTCAGGAAAGGCTTGATCCAGCAATCCAGCTTGGAGGCCCTTCCTAAAGGGCCTGGTCCGCTACATTTCTGAGTCGGCCACACCATCCTGTGTAATCCAGGCAAGGTGACACCCCCAGTGTTCCCTATAGAGACCCACCCTCCACTTTTTGCAAACCTCACATTTTCCATCCCATGCCTCTACCGTAGCCTGCTACCTCCCTGGCCCCTGACAGCCCCTACCCACCCCCCCAACCAGAGCCAGGTTCTCAAAACAAGAATCAGAACGACTCATTCTCCTGCTCTTAAGTCTCCCTGGCTCCCATCACCTCTTGAAAGAAATGCTAGTGCAGCCCAGCCCTACCCACTTCTCTGTCCTCACCTCCTCTGTTCTCCCGCTTGCCTACTCTGTTCCAGCCACCAGGATCTTCCGGCCACACCTGAACAGCACCAAGCTCGTTCCTTACTTAGGATCATTGCATTACTGTCCCTCCTGCCTGATATGCTCTTTCCTTGGCTGGGAAGTGAAGCCCAGAGAGGGCAAGTCACTTGCCCACAGTCACACAGCTGGGAAGGGGCAGAGCTGGAACTAGAACCACAACAGCCCAGCTCTGGGCCACACCACATGCGGAACCTTTCCCAGCTGGCCCTTTCCCAGCTGTCACGTGGCCTCCAGGGACCCAGCGGGGACGGAGGCAGAGCTGGGGGAGGGGCATGGAGCGCCTGAGACCCCAGTGCACACAGGGCCCTGCAGGGCAGAGGCCCAGCGGCCCAGCAGGCAGGTGGTCACTGAGGCAGGACACAGGGACACAGGGACAGCTCTGGCCAGCCTGCTGGGCTGCAGACAACAAGGCAGGCAGTGTCCTCGCCTGGGTGGTGTGTCCCTGCCGGCTGAACCAGGTCAGGGGAAGGTCAGGCGGGCAGTGAGAAGCAGCGCACGGGGCCCAGGAAGAGAATTCCATCCCTCCGGTCAACGTCCCTGTCCCAGCCGGAAGGGCACAGGCAGTGTGCCCCACTCCCCAGGCCTGAGGGCGCCAAAGTGGCCCCGCCCCAGGCGCCACCCCCCCTGGTGGGGCCCATGGGAGGCGGTCGCCCTAGCAACTGCGCCGTCCCCATGGCAACGCGGAGGCCGGCATGCAGGGGGGTTGGGCCGGCGCAGAGCATCTCCCGCCCCCAGCCGGGCGCTGGGGGGCTAAGGGTTTCCTGCCCTGGGCCTCAGGGGCTGCTGGGGAGGGTGGGATGCAGAGAGGTAATGGGGCCTACCCACCTCCCACGCCTGGGGTGCTTCCCGCCCTAGTGTCAGGGGACAGGACTCTCCCCAGGGCAGTTCCGGACCTGCCCCTGGGGCCAGGTAGCTCTGGTCAAGCCAAGATAATGCTCAGCATCGTAAGTCCAAAAAATAAAACAAAGTACAACCACAGAATCCTAGTTAAACATCAGTAAAGTAAGAACACTGCAGCCCCGCACTCGCCGCCTTCCACGGACAGTCCCGGCCCGGTTTCCAGGATGGGAGCTGGAGGGCAGAAGGGGGTGCGTGTGTAAAGGACCATTGCTGAGCCCATCAGGAGGGGTGTGCGGGGCAGGTGGGACCATCATCCCCGTCCTGTCAACGCGGGACCTGAAGCTGCCCCACGGGGAAGCGGGGGCCCGAGTCGGCCAGGCGGGCTCCTGCACGTGCGCGGTGTACACACGGCCCTCAGAGCACTCAGACCTCAGGGTCCCCCTGAGGCCCTGCCCGGCGCCCAAGGGTGGGGGGACGCTCCCATTGTCAGTGGATGGCTGAGGCGCTCGCCAGGGCTTAGGGAGAGAATCAGAGCCCGGATCACGAGACGCGCTGGGCAGAGATACTGAGGTGTGGCGGCTGTCCTCACAGGCTGTGTGACCCAGGGCCAACCAGCCTGTCTCTGAGCCTCCACAGGCTCTGCCGGGCAACAGGCCGCCTCGCGGCTGCTGAGGAGAGACAGGCCCTCCAGGAGGCCCGCCCTCCGCGCACTCCTGTCCTTGCCTGATTATTTTTATAGAGCTTGGAGCAAATTCTGGGCTCGAGCCCCAGTGTGGGTGGCTCAGGACTGGGGAGGGTGTGGGCTGAGCGCGCCTGAGATAATCCTGGCTTCAGGAGATGAGCTAATGAGGCCCAAACCCAACGGCCCTGCAGAGGCCTCAGCCTTGGGACCCATTTAGTTTTTAAAGGCACCAGAGAGGTCACCCAACCAGCCCAAGGTCACCCAGTAGGCAGGATGAGGTGGGTCTGAGGCCGGAGGCGGGTGCTTGTGGGGTCGAGCCCGTCCTTCCAGAGCCCATGCCAGGCAGCCCCAGCAGCATGAGGGGTCTGGGCCGGACTGGCACTGAGCCCAACACCAGCAACATGCCTGGGCTAACTCAAAGGAAAGAGCTGACTGTGCCCTTGGCCATGGGGGCAGGGAAGGGGAGCAGAGCCTCGCCGAGGTGGGGGGTAAGGGAGGGAGCCCCATGGCCCTTGCTCCACTGGGGTGGCTGGAATGGGGGGATCTGAAGGTCACTGCTGGCTCCCAGCTCCCTGTGGGGGCCTTCATCTGCCCTTAGCCCCAGAACCTTCCTTCCTCCAAACCATCCTGCATAAACCTCAACCTCTCATCCGTTTGCCCCTCTTCCTCTACCGGCCCCCTGCCTTCCGCTGTCCTTCCTCCACCTCCAAGCTCAGGTCAAGGGCCACTGCCTCTTCCAGGAAGCCTTCCCGATGATCTCCTCCCCCTCCTCCCCTCACTGGGGAGGAATTCTCTTCCTCCGAGACCCTGAGCACTCAGCACAGGTGACCACTGCCGTCACCGGTAAGATGACCAGCTCAGGAGGCATGCACGGGCTTTCCAGAATACTCAAGGCAGAGAAGCATCACCTCCATGGTGGAGACTGAGATCAGAGCAGACCACAGACCCAGAAGAGCAAACCTGTTGCCTATTAACCACGAGGGCGGGTGAACCCTGCCCTGGGCCCTCACGAAGGAAGGGCAGCGGGGCATGAATGGGAACGAGGGCTCCAGCGGCTTTCTCCAGCTTCAAGCAAGGTGGGCCTCAGTCAGCTGCAGAGACCAGCCCCAGAGCTCCAAGGTCCCCACCGGCCCCTCTCCCCTCCAACATTCCAGGCATGCTCCCACCAGAGGACCTTTGCACTGGCTGTGTCCTCTGCCTGGTGTGCTCTCTCCCGGGCCTCACTAACTCCCTCAGGCCTTCCCTCAGAGTCTCCTCCTCACGGAGGCTTCCTCTGTGCCCCCAGTCCTTTCCCAGGCTCACCACCAACCGACACCCTACAGCCATTTCACTTATTTTGTCTCCTATTTCCCTACAAGGACAGTGTCTCCT